AAAAAAAAAAAGAAAAGGAAAACAAAATGGTGCTCCTCCAATACATTTACCACCTTTCCCTCAGGCATAGTTAATCCAGGTATTTGTCAAGATAGAAGAATGACAATTAAAAAGACTCCCCCCACAAGAAACAAGTTACACAAAGAATACTGTATCACTACAAATTTTTATTCAGAAGCCCATCTTTAAAAAAAATCTCATTATGAACTGGTTTGGTCAAACTACAACACTTTCTAGCAGACATACAGTAAAAATGGCATGGCTCAGAATCGACCGGATCTCTCGCGGTCCCTTGACCGCCTCCTGTCGCGTTCGCGTCCTCCTCCGCCACCACCACCACCGCCGCGACCACGATCTCTGGATCTAGACCGACGTTCGCGGGACCTCGACCTGGATCTATGCCTTGAAAGAGAGCGGGAACATTTTATTGTTTCACCATAGGCCGTTAGCTTGCAGGCTACGCAACGGAATAGTCAAGCAGGTGAGCAATAGGGAAGAAGGGGCCTGGTGGGGGATTTAAAGGATAGATAGATAAACCGGCGGGGTTAAAACCATATATTTACACACGGAGCAAATTTAATATTGAGGAGTCAATCCACACCATGAAAAGACACAATTGTGCAGCGCTGGTCTCTCCTTAGAATGGATGTTCAAAGCAAAGCACACGGAGGAACTRAATGCAGTGTTGCACAGCTTCTTGCTGAGGCAGCAAGGGAAGGGGACACCTGCCCTTACAGCCCTATCTATGCACAGCCCACAGCTGTTTGCAACCCACTCCCCCTGCATCCACCAGCAGTCAAAATACAAGTTTTCCCTGGACTTTTTTTACTTCCAGAAGGCATCAGCATTCGCAAGTAATCCTCCCTGCATCTGGGGATCATGACTTTCAACAAATCAGGCACAAAGCTCAAAACCATTCATGATGCATCACTAACCAGCCCACAGTATACTTTTAAATAGCTGTAGAAATACAGCAGAACTTGGCATTTGTGTTTGTGTGAACTTCTGACAGTCTAAGTGTGCACAATATTGCTCTGCATTGAGATGTTTTTGGGATGTGGCCAAGAGGAGCATGGCAAATTTCACCATGACACAGACACACAACTTGAGTGCCAATGAACTGTCCAGAACTGTTCCATTAGCCCATTATTCAGAAGTTTTAGTGTACCCTCCCTTTTCCTAACTGAAATCCGAGTATCTCATTTTGTGTAGAACTGCATAGGTCATTCTAAATTAGATACTCTACTTGTAAACCTCACTGACTCAAGGATTCCCCTCCCCATCAAGTCTTATTGCTCCCATGTGACAATTTTAGTTTCATAAAGAATTTAAATAGGGCCAATAAGGAAAATTAGAGGGAGGACAACTATTTGTTTTACCACTGACGGAACTGGGCTACAGGTAAAACAATTATGTCCAAATCTGATCTATCCTGCAAAAAGAGGCAACGTCCTAGTGCTTTCCTGACTCTTGAGAGATCAGGATTCCTCAAAGTAAACATAAAGCAAAACAAGAGTGTGTTTTCTCTTTTCAAAAAAGTCAMACATCTTACAAGCTTACATTTAAAATTGAATTAATATCAATCAGGATATTTTAGGAAAGTACTTAGTCAAATACTTGTGCCCAAGCAATGCCATCTGCCTTTTCCACAGTTAAATTTGTCCTTTCAGATCCAGAACACCGAAAAATATTCACAGCCTTGCCAATGARTCTCTGTGAAAAGGCCAGTATTTGGCCAACTAGAAACACTGGTAAGAAAAGCTTTCTCATATTCCTAGGCTCCTTCTGTGATTGGAAGGGGAAAGAGGGAAACATCCAAAGCTGCACTACATATCAAGGAAGCTCAACAAGTCTACATAACTATCTTARATATCTCAAGTTCCCTAAAAGCAAGGAGACTGCATCGACCTCAGAACTCCTCATCCACAAAAGAAGTGTCACAGTAACAKCACTGGTACAAACTTTTCTGTGAGATAGCTAAGGTATCCTGACAAATATAAAATTTAGCATATGTAATTTAATACAAACAGTATTTTTTATTCATTGCACGCTTTTTTTGTCATTAAGTGAAATTACTATYGCTTTACCTTGTCAAGCTTTCCTATCTATGAGTGTCATTTTGTAAGGCTAGTGTCAATAAAACGTACTCAAGAAGTGAACTCCCGTTACAAATAAGAAAGAACTAGTCATTAACTGTTGAAACTAAAGGAAAAAGTTTAAAAAAAAAAAGGTGTAAAAAAATCCTGAATGTTTCTATAGATACAACTGATCGTACTTGATGCTAAATGACTGCCCTGATTCTGACAAAATGCCCCAAAAGCCATGTACTTGCTTCCAACAGAAACCAGGAGCAAGCAAGTACAGAATAGGATAAGCTGGGAAGGGGCACGAAGTGAGACTTCTGAGTAATCTGTCAGCCTGTAASAGTCTGTAATTAGGGTATCTGAACCAGATGAGCTTCCTTCCAGATATTCTTTTCCTTGTACCGAGTCTTCTCTTAAATAAAGGTCAGTCTTCAGCTTCCACAGCACTTCTTAGTAAGAAGCACTGTTACTTACATTGTTCTGTGAAGACTATTCCTTTGCTCTAAGTTGGCCCCTTGCTAACTTCACTTGAGGCCTTTTTGGCCACTTGCTAACTTCACTTGAGGCCTTTCACCTGCACATCTACCAGGACCCCACTGGACAAAAAGGAATGCAAAACCTTTTCAAGTTTTCCCTTCAGAATGTTGTGCTCAAAAGTCAACTCACTTTTTACGACGACGCCCATACAACTCGCGTCTTAATTCTCGAGAAATTGGCTTCAAATGCATAAAGTTGCAGAAACCTCCTCGTGTACACTCCCTGAAAGAGGATTTGAGAAACAGTTAGAATCCTTGCCCYACACTGTATGCGTTTGCCCTAAGCCTTAGTGGTCATCTAGCCACCTACAAGTTCCTCAACTCTAACACTAAAAAGAATTAAATCAAAGTGTTATTTACGCGAAATAACTCACTAGCACTGCAAAGTCTTAAAAGATTGGAAAATTCAACAGGCTGGCRGTAGGTTCCCAATATTACTGCTATCTGAATGTGTTTTTTCCTTACCCATAACATACATAACAAAGCCCAAATTTAAGCAACCACCTTTTTTGTGCAAGCCTTCTATCATAGGCAGACAGGGAACCGCTTTTTACCCCATTTCATATTGACGGCAACAAGCCTCTCTGAAGTCAGTCACAGGCGAGAGCTCAGCATGAATGGGCTGCCCATTAAACCAGCGATTGTTCAGGTCAATCACAGCCTTTTCTGCATCTTCTTCACGGCGAAACTAAAAATAAAATCAAGGTTTTTCTTATGTTACAGAGAAGCAACCGAGGTAGACAAATGATTCCTAGAAAATTGACTGGGATACCTATGGCTTTCAGCTAGTCATCAAACTAGGAGCTACTTCAGAGTAGCTCTGGAAAAATTCATGAAATTAAGGGTAAAGATAATTAGCTTTTTTTTTTTTTTTTAATTGGGTTTCAGAGTCAATCACAACACTGGTATTTTTCTAAGTTTAGTTTTTCTCTTAAGTTTTACAGTTTGCATTTGAGGATTTGGGAATATTATGTCTTCCTAATAAAACTTTAAACAAGAAACAATGTTTACAGTACTTTCCAACATACTAATTTGCTCTAAATGCAAATTAATGCAAGTTTTTCAGGCATTAATGAGACCTCTGAAGGAGAACTGAAGCTCTCATTCATRCAGAATACAAAGGAGTTATGAAAAATCGATCCCGCTTTAAAATAAAGTTTAAGCTTAGAGGATTCAAGTTTGGCATTTGCAAACCCAGCTTTTACTTCCGATCAATATCGCCTATAGAGCCAAGAATTTTAGGCCTCAATGTAATTCCAATTAAMGGAATGTACAATAAATATATCCAAACAGAAACTCCTTAAATAGACACATTAGGMAATCTCCCTAAGCGAGAGGTCAGGACTGGTTATTTAAAACTGATACCAACGACTGTTAAAAGCTGAAAGTAATTGATCCAGTTCTGTACCGTAAAACCACCCACCTACTGGTGGAAATAACTTACAAGACATTTTGTTTAACTGGAAATTTAGAAGAGAAATGCAAAATGTTGAAAATTAACTTCTGCTCAGCACTCAAGTGCTTAAACGGTATTGAAAGAAATATCTAAAATCAGTCTGGGTAAACTAAACAGTTCAGTGGTGACTGCCTTTTTAACCATGCAATGAAATTGCTTAATCTTCATTAAATGACACAAAGTTTCTTATCAATTCTTAAAAGTTTTAAAATTCCTTTTAGATTTTGGATTTTTCTAGTTTATATTACGAAGTTGAGAGAAGTTTAAATCCTTAAAGAGACATCTCTATTTATAACATACTGYGATTTCATATTTTTGTATCCTACCTTTACGTATACATTTCCAACTAGATGATCTCCAAGGTTATCACAAACATTCATCTCCTCAACTTCACCGTATTTTTCTTCCATTTCCGTGAAGACCTCCTAAACACAAAGCAAACAGTTGCAAATGTCAGGTACATTAGCTAAAAGCACAGGCTCAATGCATTTAACTGCTGTTGAACACCAAAGCAGGRCTTTAACACTTAAAACACTTTTTGTATTTGTGGTTTAGTACTTGCTGGAGCAGTGCCACATCCAKCCAAAAGGCAAGAGCTTGTACAATGCTAACAGGATACAACAAATAGCTATATAAACATTAAAAAATGCCATATTTAGGAAACACACAAGATGCACTGAAAACACTAAATAAGGCCTGCTGCTACAACTTTCCTTATATTCATTTCTGTACAAGGAATGAAAAAAGTCTATTTTAAGTTTACAGAAGAAAGGGGGATTTTGGAATCAAAATGCTACACAGCTCAAGTTGCTGTTTTTTTAAATTAAAAAAAAAAAAAAAAAAAGGGCTAGTATGCACAGTAAAGTTAATGCCAAACGACCCAAAGGTTACAACACAAAATATTTAGCATTGAAAGGTGGAAATTTTATATGAACACCCAGGAAAATGGTACACTATTCTGGATACATCTGTGATATGCAGTGAATCCATCCAACTACACTGCTTCCACAATCTCCTGAACATTTKAATGCATTTCAAACATTAACTCTTTGACGTACCTCAAAAAATTCATCATAATGTTCCTGCATCTCGACATCGCTCACAGCACCTGCAAGAATCAAAGAGTCACACTGATTAGAATAATTAGGGAAGAAGAAACTCTAATTTTACTACAAAATATAATCTAGAGAGGCCACCTGGAGCATAAAAGACACCATATAGCAAGTTGCTAACTAACAGGAATATTAAAAGTAAGTATCTGTCAGCAGCTTTAGTCTCCAGTAATATCTCAAATATCTCCAGTAATATCTCAAAACATGGTCGAATTAAGACAAGCTCTAATCAGAACCAAACTAATACGCTACATATTACGAAGTTGGGAATGGGAATTATGTTTAAATATCACTTAAACCTAAGGTACCAGCTTAGCCTCTATCTAGCCAATGATTTTACCTAAACAGAAGGCAAGTGCTTCATCAGATTGGCACGCTTTAAAGAATAATTACAATTTAGTATTTCTCTTCCTAAAGGCAGAGGGTCATTTTAGAGAGGGATGTCCACCTCTCTAGCACATATGACTAAATCTTAAGAGTTCATAATTTAACACAACTCAAGAATTTTAAATAATTTCTTTGGATTAGTTATTAAAACGACATGGTTTTCTTGGTGCTCTCCAAGAACAGAATGCTTTACTACAGAGAGCATTTTTTTCATTTGAGCATCACTGTATTTTCCTACAGTCCTGCATATCAGCTTTTAGTGCAAGAGAAGCCAGCCATATGGCTGTGTTAAAATTACTTTCATGCTCCAAGCTGGACTCCAAAATTGCGTGCTGCTTGCCTGCTGCTATAGAAAAAACAAAATAACTTTGGCCGAGTTTTCAAAGCTTTGAGATTACAGAAATCAGCTTCATTTTTTTTTTCCATTCTACTGTGTTTTAATGTACATTAAGCTGTATTCATTAGAGCTTAATGTATTATCTTTAGCAGTTAAGTGGCTTTATTAAGATCAAGCAGAGCAGTTTAAAAAATGAACTTTGCATTTTAGGCTAGAAAAACAGCCTAGCTTTTAAAATACAAACTCTGCTGCTTCAGCTGCCAAAATGCAAACGACAAGAAACCGGCCAGCTAAGCTAAGTTTATTCACTTCAGGCTGCTGTGAAAAACAAAACAAAACAAAGAGCTGATGCTTTGGGCTCAGTCCTTCCTGGCTACCAGAACAAACTGCACCTTTATGAACTATCTGCTTTTGTTCAAAGACTCTTGCATTAGCAGCCACACACTCTGGAACTATAATTACTCTTCTTCCACCCTGCTCACCTCTTGGAGGTGGCTAAGGGGAATTTGTTATATAGTTTAGGCTGACAATGTTTCTGGATTTGAAACATGTTGCTTTTACAAGCTTTCTTGTTCCCCACCACTTCCCAGTGGTTATAAAGCAAATTCAGGAAACAGTAAACATTGACCAACTATTTCTGGACAGTTTAAAACTTAACAATATTCCCAAGGTTGTGCCAACACCAGTGATGATAGCTTACTAACACCTAAGGATTTATTTGTGTGTTTGCTTAAATAGGTCTCAGATAGGGTGAGCAACCCAGGGAGTAATTAATTCCTGCCAAATGGAAACGGGCTAACAATTTGTAAGGAGATTTCACTGTCAATCTAAGAGAGGATAAACAACAATTGGTTAATGGCTAGTTGAATGTCCTTCTAAAGTGGGAAGCATACATATGCACAGGCTTTGCAAACACTGGTAATCCAGGGCTACTGGTATCTGAACCTTSAGAAGCCCAAGTACTAATTAAAATAGTCAGGAATACTATTAATGTTCAAAGCTAAGGTCAATCCTCTACGACGGCAATAAAAAGGAAGACAGTTAAGCAACAACAAYGACAAAAAGCATTAAATAGCTACCCAAGTTATCCATTTAAAATACATGCAGTAYTTCAGGAGGGACACAAATTGAAAAAACAGGGAACAGGGAGTTTTAGCGAACCTACTGATCACAGAGCTCCAACTCTACCACRCCAGGTACAGTCAGGCTCTGTTCAATAATTACCCGCTTGTCAAGACAAACTAAAGTTTAACACCAGTACTGAGAACACTAGAGGATCTGTTTAAGTTAAGACTCTCGCAGCTGTACAATCTAAACAGCTTCACAGACCAAACTGCTGTAACTCTGTGCAAATTAGTTACCAGCGCATTGAGATCGTAGGGGTATTTCCAATATGTGCAGCTAAATGCTTTTGATATAGCAAAACAGCATTAACAGCTAAGTAGCTGTAACAAAAAGGTCTGCAGGTCAAGAAAACTGTTTAAGTGTCTAGACAAATGTACTAAATTCATTATGCATCTCACATAATTATATGCCATAAAAACCTTAAGCTACTTAATTGGGGTATTATTATTATTATTATTGCTAAATAAATGACAGAAAATCAGTTAAGTTAGTTACTAATTTCACAAAGTAAATTTAAYTAAATGCTGGTAACTAATCTGAACTAGTCTGTAATCCAACAGTCAGAAAAAGGAATAGCCAAACAAAGCTTTATTACCACRCAGTCAATGTTCACTTCAACAAGAAATATTAGTTAGAAAATAACATTGATCCTTTTTGGTTCTAAAGTGTTTTGCATCTTATTCTAATACTGATGATTCACAAGGACAAATCGCAGATCAATCTTGGTCATAGAATATATGTGGTCATAGAATATATGTGTTTTCTTTTGCTCATTCCTACCTCACAAAGAGTCATTAAATTATGACCACACCCCAATGACTTTCCCTCCTTAAACATAAAGACATCTTTTTTTCTACATATATATGCGTGCGTGTATATATATACACATATATATGCAGCATTGCTCTGGAATTTGAGTTTTCAAAGCACAGAAGGAATTTTAAATATGCACCTATAGAGAAGGACAGCTGCCAAGAGGGAAGCRTTTGTCAGTCAAGTGTGTCCTTTCAATGTAGACTCTACACGGAAGTTACAATAACCTTGGGCATACTTCTGCATGAAGTCTAAAAAGTTTTAAATTCAAGCTCTCTTAACATTTACAGAGCAGGAAATATGTTCTGGACCAAGTCAATAAGTCATTGTCCTGTTCTTTAGACAGTGAAGCCTAATGGACAGCATAAAACATATAGAAAAGCATTCCTAGGATGCAGGTAACTGGCAGGGAAAAGGGAGGGAGCAAAGCAGTACCTCAAGACTGCTTTACAAGGGAAGTACAATTTCAACCCTTTTTGAATGAGCAGGTGGTTTCCAGATTCCCCTCAAATCTGTGGGAGTAGGGAAGAAGGTAAGGAGGACAAAAAGGTTTTTTTTCCAATACATTTAATGAAATGTGGTCAGTTTGATCTGTTAAACTAAAATGGTAGACCAGCTTAAGTCGACACTGAGCTCTGACAATCAAGCCCAGGGAACCAGTGAAGGAACTTGTATGAACTTACAGCGCAAACCGTCAGCAGACTGGGAAGAGTTTTGAGGGTTACGGTAAATGTTCAAGAGGGCAATGGTCTGAAATACAAAACGCAACAACTTTATATTATGGAAAATAATTTTTAACAAGAAACTGGTTTCCTTTAGGGTCGCTTTAGACGAGTCTGTGCTGAAAAAGAGGTGGTTATTCTCTCCCAAGAAGGAGAACTTTTACTTATCTGGTGACCTTTCTGAATCAGCCTAACGCTATAAAGTAATAGAGATCTCATGATACCCCATTATTGTATTTTTACAGTTATTTTACTCACAACTATTGCTATTAAGGAGTTTCAGATGATTTCAGGCAGAAAGGTATTAGATGACACCCAAAGGTGATATTCAAGTGGTAAGCATAATAATTTGTTTGAATTTGGTTTTACTGAATGGTTTCTTAGTAGCAAAACCCTAGGAAAGAGGGGAAAAAAATAATACAATAATCGGAGCATAACATGAAATCTCCATTTCCCTGGAAGAGTTAAGATAAAAGAAAATCCACAGTTTGGGAAACTTACCGTACATCACAAATATACCTATTTCTTTTGGTTACATCAAGAATTTGAGAAATGTCTGCAGTTTAGCTGTGTGAGAAGAGTGCAGAAGCACTCACTAAGCAACTGAGCTTAAGGCTGTACAATAAGAGAGAATCGAATCCAACTTAGGAAGCCACTTTCTGTGTGCTGAATTGCCTACATTTCCCAAGTTCTTGATCTATGCGCAAGAAGAGTTCCGTCACTTGTCCTGTTTGCAACAGCTTTATGTCAGCAGCTCAGAAGCCAACATTATTTTCTCATAATTAGGAGTGGGCTCTTTAACACCATTCTTTAAAAAAATTTCTCCAACTGTGGGACTTACAGTGTGAGCCGTCAGCCGTCTGTGCACTGTTTTGGGGGTTACGATAGATGTTTTGAATCAAGATGGTCTGCGGGGAAAAAAAATAAAAAGGGGAATTCTACTGGCTGCTGTGCATATAATAGACAATTGCAAAGAGACAACTTGTTTGCAAAAAGCTATAGGTAATATTTTATTCTCAAGATTTCCTTTTGCATTTGCAGAGTATCTTCCAAAATTGCATCCAGACCATCATATTATGAAAACAGTTTTAAATTAACCACCAAGAAAGAGCTGCATTTGTCGCAGAAGCTACCCTCAAAATGGGAATTGAGGCACAGTACCCTAAAACATCGAACTATTATGCATATGCCTAGTTTTATCTTAATTTTAAGGTCAGATTCTTTTCTACATCTGGGGGAAAAAAAAAAAGAGTTACGTGCACAGCGTATAATACATAATGCCACAGACTCTAAAATGTTACACCAAGCAATAAGGTTTGGGGGGCAACGGCTACGTCTCATTTTGTGCATCAGACATTTCTTGGTGGAATTTCTGTTTAAATAATATAATAGCATCATAGGTTCACATGTTTCCGATCCTTCAAATAAGGACAATATCCTTTTAGCCCTTCTGCTTTTTACTTGAAGAATTAGCCCAGGCAGACTTGAAACCTTACATTTGTACCGTTCTTCTTAAAATCAAGTTGTCTGAAAAAACAAACCATGTTTTAGTTAGTAAACTAATATTACAAAAAATTCCAAACGTCCATATCACTGTAAGCAGCTCAAAAATTGAGATTGATTACTTAAACATAAGCTCAATGTTAGTTTGTACAAATTGCAATCCCCAAACAAGTAAGCTTAACTTACACAGTATTATTAGTCACATTAAGAATTCAGAGCTGAAAGTCACAGGACCAGCAATGTCAAACCTACATATGCTGCCCACTTAACATGTAAAGAAACTGTAGTATCACATTTGAATCACATACTTGTTTTATTACGGGTATGGGCATACTAATGAAAGCTATTGTGTTTCTGTGGCCCTGGTTTAAAATAACATATTTTAGCCTACAGTTGGAGAGGGACAGAAACATGCATACAGTTACAGTGTTTCTGCTGATTGGTGGTAATTTGATCACTCTGGATTGCATGACCTTTCCTAACACAGCACTTCAATAAAATAGCTGCACCAGCAATAGCAACACAAGATAAAAATATTGCAGCAGTTAACTTCTCATTAATAAGATGTCTGTTCTTCTATCACAGCTGATTACCAACCTGCATACAGATAAAGATTTCTGTAATGAATTCTGTACAACTATCAGGTCTGCTAGAGACAGAACAACCCAGCATGCCTGCCAAGTGCAGGGCCCCTGTGATCCCAGGCATCCCTAGGAAAGACTGGGAAACACTAGAACAGGCTGCCCAGGTAAGTGCTGGAGTCATTGGCCCTGGCAGCGCTCAAGAAACGTGTAGATGAGGCACTAAGGGACATGTTTAATAGCCATGGCAGGCATGTTATTGTATTCCTTTTTCTTCTTCTTCTTCTTCTTCAAAAAAAAAAAAAAAAAAAAAAAAAGAGTTCTTAAAAAATATATATTACAATGGCTACTGTGGAAGTTGTTTAAATTGAAAACATGTTTTCCAGCAGTCAATGACCTGCACTTAAGTCTCTAAACAACCAATTCTATTTCAGCATGCTGTTTGTACACACTAGCACTATGAAGTAGTTTTTAAAGTGGGCAACACTCCTCTTGATATAGAAGACTTAAATTAACTGTTAATAAGTTCTTTAAACTGGGAAAATTATTTGTGTAGATGAAGCATCAGCAACGGTCCCTCTAGATACTCCCTCCCTCCTGAACTCCCCCTGCTCACTCATGAGCAGACTTAATTTCAGCAGCCCTACCACTCTAGTCTCCTATGATGTGGGCAGCACTTGCCTCACTGACCCTCCCCAAATGGACCGTTCCAAGAAAAACAGTCAATTCTCTGCATCAGTTAAAGCCAACTTGCAGAGGACTCTACTGCTGTCTAAGTTCTACTTGTAGTAAAACTTCTAACAGTGCAATGACTTTCACAGGCACTGATGCTCATGCACAATAATCCCAAAGAAATCTATTTACCTGCATGCCTTGATAATCAGCAGTGACAGAAAAAGGCAAAGTGTACAATTCCCCAGGAATGTAAAAGAAGTTTTCTGRAAACTGTGCATGTCATAATAAAAAAAAGCTATCAATCACTGCACTGCTGCTTTTTTTTTTTAAGTGCAGTCAATCTCTATGTCAGTGATAATATTAATTTAGTCAAAGATGACATAACCTGTAAAGTCTGCTGATATACCCTCAGCAACCAAGCAGGTTATTTTCAAGAAATTATTCTTTCACATTCAAAGGAAGTGTGCAAGTTACTCTCCAAACTTAAGAGCCTGGGTCGGAGAGCAAAGTCAATGACAGAGAAGTTGCTCTTGTTGAATAATTTTCTCCTTTTATATGCAGAAAAGACTTAAGCTCACACCTCAGATAGGTGGAACATGCTGCCATCATTTGTGTGATTAAAAAAAAAATCCGGGATGGCTTAAGTGCCTAAACATCACTGAGAAGGCACACTCACCTGAAAGTTAGCACTGGTTGGTCTCTACTACAGGCAAGCTTACAACAGCATCGCTTCCTGCAGCCATTAAGGGTGACAGGAGATAATTAGAAATGCTGGGAGAAGTAAATGGAATACCCCCAAAAAAAGCAAAAACCCGTATAAACTGGGGTTGAAAGTGTACGTGTAAGTTAACTAGTTAATCTGGAGCTCTGTAATTATTGACTTGTATCTAGGAATTTATGTCTTAAGAGGTAAGAATATACTTACACAAGAAAAGAAAACAAAAGGGAAACAAACCTGGCTAAATGTTGGTTTGTTGTGCAACCGAGAACATCTGTCTCCATGACGACAAGCGCCGATTTTGAAATAAAACGAACAGTTGACTCTGCAAGTAAAAAACCCCAAATAGTTACATATTGGCACAGAATCACATTAATACGCAATTAATATTAAAAAAAAAAAAAAACTTGCACTGACATGGAGAAATAAAAAAGACAAATCAAGACAGTATAAGAAGGCATTAATGCAAGACTACTGATTCACATTTCTCTTCATCCCTAGTTTAGTTTATGTTATCTCTCTTAAACCCCAAACATATTCATGTCACCATCACTATCACAGATGGTTGCTACTATTTTACCCTTCTAATTCTCCCTTCTTGTCTTTGTATCTTGCTTCACTGCGATCAGTATCACTGAGGGAGATGGGAAATAACGCAAAAAACAGTCTAAAAAAGTTATGCTATGAACGACACAGATGAGTTAAATTTAATTCCTAGTCTAGACAATAAAATGTGCTTCAAAGTGATACAGTTGCATCTGCCTCATTTCTTTAATACTGTTTAAAGTTATACGCCAGGATCTCTTAAGCCTTCAGCAGGATGAGGAAACCATAGCCCCCTTGACAAGCTTTAAATGATACAAAAATCATTTAAGTTAGATGTGACCTAAAGCTCACGCCACAACTGCTGGAAGAGAAATTCAAACATCCTTTCTCTTACCTATTCCTCTACACTAKTCCTCAACCGTGCTTCTAATCTGAACACCCCCATGGGAAGTATTTGCACTTGGGTGATTTCGCCTGAAGACCCTGCTGCTCATTTCTGTCACTGTAGTTACTACACGGTCACTACTCAACCTTTTACTGCATTTACCAAACCGCCGCCAGGGCAGTATTTCATTACAAATGTAGCGCTCCTATTAAATGAAATGTTCCAGTGTTCTACACCACAATCCTGTGAAATGACTGAAAGGACACAACTGTGTACCGAAACAGACCCAAACTGCTCCAATGTGCATCYTGTGGAACTGCAATTTCGGACGAGCTGCTACAGTTATGTTGAGCTGAATGCAGACCTAGCTCAGACAAAAGGAAAGAATTTCAAGCAGGTAATACCCAACCCAAGGAGAGCCCTAGATGGCATCGCTGTAAACCTCTGTGCTTTACTGCTGAAAAGGTCACTTCGCTTTGATACAGAATTGCATTTCCTATCTAAAAAAAAAAAGTAAGTTGCACAAAGTCTTTAGATATTCAACAGCAGCCATATTGATAGATTTTTTTAAACACACTCCAGGACTTGCAGCAAAATACGTTGATACATATGAATAAATTTATTAAAAGAAATATCCTTGTACAGACTAAATTATTTACAAAAGAAGAATCCCATTCCTTAAATGCAGTCACTACAAACGTTCTTGTATTAGCTAACATCAAACACAGCCTCCCAAACTACTCTGGTTTACGAACGGCAGCAAAATTCTAAGATATATTGGTGTCACTCAGAGAGAATGATGAGCTTGTCTGGGAAAAGGGAACAGAAAACTGCGAGTGGCAAGGAAAGTATTGTGTTATTCAGGCAAGCACGCGAAACACAAGAGTTCCCTTGGAAGGARTATTATTTCTCCCTTGTTCAACGCTGAGCGTGATTTTTCTCCGCAATTCCATGTACTAAAAACACCAGCGCTGGAAAGGGAGAAATACACGCGGAGCGCGGCGCGGGGGTCC